GTGTGTAAAGGACTGTAACTACCTCTCCCATCTGGGGAGCATTTTCAGGGTCGTTTTCTCCACATGAGCGCTGGAGCAGGGGCATTTTCTACTTTGCCTCCCGGTAAATCTGTGTGTGTGTGGGGGGGGGGGGTATGTGGGATACAAAAAACTTTCCCTCAGATTGCTACCCCCATAATACATGCCCAGCCCAGGACCCTGCTTGCTAGGGCATCAGAGGTCAGCTGCTTAGAGGTTATCTCCCTAAGGCATTCAGCCATGACAGCAACCAGACTCTACAGCAGCAGTTCTCAACCTGTGGGTCTCGACCCCTTTGGGGTCGAACAACCCTTTCACAGGGGTCACCAGATTCATAACAGTAGCAAAATGACAGTGATGACGTAGCAACGAAAATAACTTTATGGTTGGGGGGGTCACCACCACATGAGGAACTGTTTTAAAGGGTCATGGCATTAGGAAGGCTGAGAACCACTGCTATAGTCTGTCCCACCCTAAATAGGGCCGACTCCCTGCTGATAAGGATGGTGGATTGTCTTCCTGAAGGAGAGCCCAGAGACACGGTCAGCCAACTCAAGGAGGACCAAGGTTAGGCTGCCATCCTGAATCTAGGGTCCACCCGTTTTGCTACATGTGCACCCCTAGTTCCTCCCCTTCCTATTGCATGTATACTCCCAGCTCATTCCTTTCCTGTCATACATATGCCTATGGTACAGCCCCTTCCTGTTACAATGTGGTTACCTGCAGTCAGAGGGGCTTGAAGCCCCTAAGTATATATAACCTGTGATTGGAAATACGCTTGTTCCTCCCCTCCCTCTCTACACGGACGTGGCTGCTGAGATCATGACCGTCCGGGAGGTGAGCAATTGCATGCCTTATATTGTCTGATGTCTCTTTAATTTTACCCCTCAATGACACAACCGCCCCTTGGGCCCGTTCGATTGTGGGGGCTGGTACCCGCAGGGGGTGCGGCAAAATGTGGCCCCCCTCACCACCACCATTCTAACTACACAACATTCATTGCCGGGTCCAGACAGTGCATGCGTCCATGCCACAGCTGTCCTGTGGACGCCATCCTTGTTCTGGATCCACAGCCCCAGGGAGACACTTGCAAAGCTGTGGGGGGAAGGGGTCCTCAAAAAAAAAAGAGGCATTCCCCAGAAGAGGGATTTTTCATACATCAGCCCCTCAAACATCTCTCACAGAGATGCTTGTGAAGACAGGTCTGGCCACCCAATGCCTTCCATGGTGGTCTCAGAGGTTCCAAAGCTACAGAGGTCCTTTAGGGGGTGAATCCCTGGGGTGGAATGAAGTCTGTCTGCAGATGGGCTGACACATAATCTTTCCTCCTTGGTCAGCCCGTGGACCTCCCGTGGACTGTGGGTGACCAGCCCAAGTAGACACCTTAACAAGTAGGATGGGACAAAGACAGTGTGGGTTTCTTCTCTTAGAGAGGAACTGGATAGGGTAGGCTAACCAATTCTCTACACACCCGTGCCTATCCTGATCCTGACTCAAAATCAAAAACACTTCTCACTGCCATGCAGTTGATTCCAACGACAGCGACCCACTAGGGCAGGGTAGACCTGCGCTGGTGGGGTTTCCAAGACCGTTAACTTATGAAGAAGTAGAAAGCCTCTTCTCTCTCCCATCGAGCAGCTGGGGGTTTGAACCACCAACTCTGGGATCAGCAGTTGAAGCCATTGTGCCACCAGGGCTGGCACAATAATCAATTAAAAACAACAACTCCTTGCCATCGAGTCAACGCTGACCCACGGTGACCCCACAGGACAGGTGAGAACTGCCTCTGTGGGTTTCTGAGACAGTAACTCTACAGGCCGGAAGCTCCGAGTTGCCATGGAAGAAAGGCTTGGCCATCTACTTCCCTAGAGTCCGCCACTGAGGACCATAGGGGCACAGTTCTCCACTGAACCAGGTAAGGAATCTGCTATGCCACCTCAGGTGAGGGGCAAAGATGCATCCACCCTGTGGGTCCAGGTACCCCCGACAACTGGCCCTAGTGGTTGCTGTGGCCAGGTGCCATCGCGGTGGTCCCATCCCCTGGCACCCTCATGCACAACAGAACGTCCCGAAAGCTGCCTGGCCCCACATCATCCTCACACGTGTTCCTGTGCTCGGACCCACTGTTCCACCTGGTGTGTCAATCCATCTCCTTGAAGACACCCTCCCCTCCCCTTCACGGACCCTCCGCTCCACCACCGAGGATGTCCTTCTCCAGGGTGCAAGTTGAAGTCTTGCCAACCTGGCCTCTAAAGGACACTCTGGCTGTACGTCTTCCAAGACAAATCGGCGTGTCCTTGTAGCAGTCCGTGGCACTCTCAGTGTTCTTCCCCAGCACCACAATTCGAGGGCATCGATGATTCTTTGGTCTTCCTTATTCAATAGCCAACATCCACATGCATATGAGGCCATGGAAAAAATACCATGGCTTGGGTCAGGCACACCTTAGTCCTCAAAGTACCATCCTTGCTTTTCAATACTCTGAAGAAGCCTTGTGCTGACTGACCTAATGAGACTCCTCTCTTGATCTCTTGACCGCAGCTTCCGTGAGCTTTGATTATGGATCATTCAAGCAAGAGAGAAGATCCTTGACAACTTCAACCCTTTCTCCATTGATCAGTATGTAACCTATTGATCCAGTTGAGAGGACTGTGATCTTCTTTACCTTGAGTCGTAATCCATCCTAAAGCCTAGAATCCTGGATCTTCATCAAGTGCTTTAAGTCCTCCGCACTTTCAGCAAGCAAGCTGGTGTCATTTGCATACCTAAAGTTGTTAAAAGCCTTCCTCCAATCGTGATGCCAAATTCTTCTACATATAATCCAGCCTCTCTGATTATTTGTTCAATATACAGATTGAATAAGTATGGTGACAAGATACAACCCTAATGCACACCTTTCCTGATTTTAAAAATCATTTTATTGGGGGCTCATACAACTCTCCTCTTGTCCTGTTTGTACAACTGCTTCTTGATTCATGCACAAGTTCCTCATGTGCACAATGAAGTGCTCTGGAATTCCCATTCCTCTCAAGGTTATCCATAATTTGTTATGATCCACAGAGTTGAATGTCTTGGCATAATCAATAAAGCACAAGAAAACATCTTACTGGTATTCTCTGCTTTCGGCAAAAATCCATCTGACATCAAGACTGATATTGCTTGTTCCACATCCTCTTCTGAATCCGGCTAGAACCTCTGGCAGCTCCCTGTCAAGGTACGGCTGCAACCTTTGTTAGATGATCCCACAAAGGATTAGGGGCCTCTTTCCTCCACCGTTAGCTATCCTTAAGAAAAACCAAACAACCAAACTCAAAAACCCGACCCACAGTGACCCAATAGGACAGGACAGAACTGCCCCCATGGGGGAGTTTCCGAGACATAACTGTAACTTGATGGAAGGAGAAAGCCTCATTTTTCTACTGCAGAACAAAGGTGGTTCAAACTGTAAGCAGCCCAGCGCGAAACCATGATGCCACCTGGGCTCCTGTCACCTGGCCAGCTGCTTTCAAGTCGGCTCGGACTCCTGCTGACCCAGTGGGGGCGGGTGATGGTGGGGTGGGGAGCTGAGTTCCACAGGGTTCCACAACCTTCCAACTGCTGCTTTCCCAGAAGCAGACAGCCAGGCCTTGCTTACACAACACCTCCGGGTGAACCCAACCCAACCCTCCACCTTGAGGGGAGCAGCTGAGCACAGTCACCTGCCCCCTACCTTCCTTCTCAGCTGTGCCCTCCGGGTACCTAACTTCCTCCACCAGCTACGCCCCAGCTCAGTTCTATGTTGCAAACAATGAACACAGCTATGCCCCAGCTCGCCCCCATGTTGCAAACAATGAACGCATCCTTGCACAACCACCACACAGGGCTAAGGAACGGGGCCTTGGGGAGGGAAGCGAAACCCAGGCCAAAGCCCTCAGGTGGGTCTTACGGAGCAGGCATACCAGGGGAGTGGCCGGCAGTCTCCCCGGCTGGTGGAAAAGCAGGAAAAGGAAGTGGAGGTCAAGATCAGCCACGGCAGAGCCAGGCCAGACCGAACAGCTAAACCAACTGCAGACGCCGGACGGAGGGACTGCGGAGAGGCTCAGGTCATGGAGAGGCGGGCTTCCGGGACACACCTACCCAGGACCATGTGTCTTCTTCACAGTGGTTCTGTGGCTCAGTGGAGGCAGTCTCCCCTCCCGTCGTGGACGTGGGTTCAATTCCCAGGCGCTGCCCCTCACGAGCAGCCACGACCACCTGTCAGTGCAGTTGCAGCAGAGCGTCCAGACGAGGGAAGGAGCCCTGGTGACCACTGGACTACTAACCTCAAGGTCAGTAGTTCGAACCTACCAGCTGCTCCACTGGAGAAAGATGAGCTTTTCTGCTCCCGCAAAGAGAAGCTGTTCGTCCCGACACAGAGGGCCGCTGTGAGTCGGAGCGGACTCGGAGACTGTGAGAGGGCAGTCTATGAAATGCGCCCAAAGAATAAGTTCTGGAATCTTCAGCGGGTCCCAGTCGTCAGATGAAATGGCACCCCCAGAAAGACACAGCGGTGCACCCCGGGGCGCGTTTTCAGGGGTTTGCACTTACGGAAAGATCACATGGAAAGTGGCTGAACTTGAGAGGTTAGGCAAGGAACCGTCACGACGCTTTTAAAGACCCCCCCCCCCCCCATCGCATCACGAAATGCTTCCACCTGATGTTGAAGTGAATGGAATTGGAGGGAGGGAGGGAGGGAGGGAGGGAGGGAGGGAGTCAACTTGGGCAGTGCTCTCAGGAGCGGGGTCCACTACCTTCCAGCCCAAAGCAGTCACAGGACTAAGGTTCAGGGGAAGGCTGTCCCCATCTCACAACACAGGGCCAGTGGGGTGCATGGGCCAGGTGGCATTGCGTTCATCTCCGGACTCGCGGGAAGGCAAGTGCAGTCCCCCAGGGAGCAGGGCAGAAAGCCCAGTGCAGCGCTGAGCACAGAGCTGTGGAGGAGGAGGAGGGAGACGAAGGCTCACCGTTGGGCGGGCTCTTCCTGAAGTTGTCCAGGAACTCCTCCAGGAGCTGAGACTGGTTCGAGGGGGGCAGCGGACTCTGCTGGCCCGACGAGAGCGGCTCGCTGTCTGAGCAGGAAGTGGCCACGGTTCCGGTGGTGTCCAGAGGCCGCGCCAGCAGCGTGAGGCCCACGGACTTCTCAGAAAACAGGGCTTCCATCTGCTTCAGGTCCAGATCGACCACCGCTTCTCCATTTAGGGTCACGATCTCACTGCCCTTTCGCAGGCCTGAGAACGAGCAAGAGGTGGGGGTGGGGGGGGAGAAAGAAGGGATTTCTCAGGAACGTCATGGGCTGTGGACTCGCAGGGGCCCTGATGGGTGCTTTTGTCTCAAATTAAAATGCTCCTGATAACACGCGGGGGTGGGGGGAGGCAGAGGGCCCCACCCCCACCCCGCTACCGCCAGCCCTCAGGGCTCATCTGAGGAGGGGTCCCCTACCTGGAAACCACTGAGGAGGCAGTCTAGGCACGTGCCCTCCAAACAGCACTTGTGTGATCTATGTCTGTCTGTCTGTCACTTATTCTTTCTCCCTCCTTCTCTCTTGACATATTATATACATACTATTGACATATGTATTGACATACATCATATCCATAGTATGTTTCAGACCTGACTCCGCATGGCGTGAGTTTGACTTTGGTCACGCCCACGGCCCTCCAGTCCGTTCCAACTCCCAGTGACCCCTATGCAGGGGTTCAAGGCTGTACATCTTTACGGGAGCAGACAGCCTCCTCATCCTCCCACAGAGAAGCTGGGGGGTTTGACGCCCCCCCCAGCCTTGCAGTCAGCAGTTTAGTGCTTCCCTGACAGTGCCACCGGGCTCCCTGTGTGTTGTGCACGCATGAGTATTCTCTCTGGATATACACAAAGGCCCTCTCATTCACAGCGCGCACACACACACACACACACTCATGTGCACACGCCCTCAGGCACAAGCACTTGAGTGCTCTCCCCCCACTCCCCCCACCTCCAGCCCCCCACTCTAGGAGAACAATGCGTTCTCAACTGAACTCTTTGGTTTGCTTCTTTCAAGCCCCGGTCGAAACGTCCCCTCAGAAGGAGTGTCACCAGTTAGTTTCTGGCCTCCTAGGTTCTAAGTGTGGGAGGTGACTGGGGCACAGTGCCTGCCACCCACTGACCTTCCCCATAGGCCAGGCCATCCGGGAGGACGTCGCTTATGAATATCCGGCTGAGGTGCTGGCGTTCATCCACCTGGGCGGTGACGGCGAACCCTGCGGTGGGAACAGAAGGGAAGCTCAGGGAAACCAGGGACAAGACTGCAACAAGAGATCTGAAACCGATGGTGAGGAGGGCACAGAATGCCTGGTGGGGTTCGATCAAGTGCACTGCAGCCGAGAGGAAATAAAGAGCTGAATGAAGGTCGAACATGATCGTGGGAAATAGAGGAAAGAACTTGGAGGCAAAAGATACTTATAGAGGTATAAATATAAACATGCACATATGGAAATATATTAATATATAATGATAGGGATATAGGTCTATGCACATATATTTATTTGTTAAGTATTAAGGTAACAGATGGACACTGAGCCTCTACTCAAGTCCTTCCTGAATGTAAGAATACTTTGTTCTAATAACCTGGCATTTCCAACAGGATCACTGAAGACAAAATAGGTGCATAAGCAAATGTGGTGAAGAAAGCTGATGGTGCCCAGCTATTAAAAGATACAGCATCTGGGGTCTTAAAGGCTTGAAGTTAAACAAGTGGCCATCTAGCAGGGAAGCAACAAAGCCCACATGGAAGAAGCACACCAACCCTGTGATCACGAGGTGTCAATGGAATCATGTATCAGGCATCAGAAGACCCAAAACAAACAACCATTTCAATGCAAACGAGGGGGTCCGAATGGAGAACCAAAGCCCATCTGTAGACAAGTGAACATCCCCTCATAGAAGGGTCACAAGGAAGGGACGAGCCAGCCAGGGTGCAGTGTAGCACCAACGAAACTCAAAACATTCCTCTAGTTCTTGACTGCTTCCTCCCCTACCCCGCTCCCAAACTGCCATGATCCCAGTTCTATCTTACAAATCTGGCTAGACCAGAGCATGTATACTGGAACAGATAAAAGCTCTCAACACACAGAATCCAGGACAGATAACACCCCCAGGAACAGTAATTGGAGTAGTGAGACCATGAGGGTAGAGGGAAGGTGGGGTGAGAAGGGGGAGAAAGGGGTAACCAATTGCAATGATCAATATACAATCCACCCCCACCCCCAGGGGGACAACAGAAACGTGGGTGAAAGGAGTCAGTAGACAGTGTAAAATATGAAAATAAAAATAATTTATAAATTACCAAGGGTTCACGAGGGTGGGAGGGTGGGTAAGGGAGGGGCGGGTGGTGGGGGGTAGGAAAGGAGCTGATACCAAGGGTTCAAGTAGAAAGAAAATGTTTTGGAAATGATGATGGCAATATATGTACAAATGTGCTTGATACAATTGATGTATGGATTGCTATAAGATCTGTGAGAACCCCAAATAAAAGGATTTATAAAAAAGAAAGCAAGCAAGCTCGGGACTGAACTCCCCAAGTAAAGAACCCCCTCAGCACCCACTTTTCTGAGCACCCACTTGCATGCATACAGTACATTGAGAAACCCCTTATCAAGCCTAGTTTGAAAGCACGGCTATCTAGCCAGGCAGAAAAGAAAGAGGAACACAGTTTGAGAAACAGGACAGCAAACCCTTATTCAGAAAGTGTGACCGGCATTGACTCATCTTGGAAGAAATTCAATTCCGTTTAACGTAACAGCTCTCAGTGGAGAAAGAACTATGAACAGGGCTGGTGGCTTTACAGGGTGCCCTCATGGGGCCGCAGTGAAGCTGCTCAAACCTGCCAGGGATCCTGCCAGAGAGAGAGGTGGCCGTCTGCTTCCAGGAAGACTTCCAGCCTTGGCAATCCTCTAGGGCAGTTCTAATCTGTACTCTGGGCTCACAGTCAGACCAGCTCAATGGCAGTGGGTTTGGTTGGGTTTTTTCTTTCTTTCTTTCTTTTTTGAGTTTCATAAGAAAATTGGGAAATTAGCAGATACAGTACTTGCCCTACCTCCGTAATTCTACAAGCAAAACCCAGGTGAGTCCTCCCTCCTTTGTGAGGATCTCTCCTGACCTGGGAGATGCCCTTCTCTGTTTGCACAATGGGGGCACCCACTTCCAGACGTGGTCCCCAACACCAGGAGGGGACAGGAAGTGGGTGGGCCCTGAGTGCCTCTGTTCCCTCTGTGCCTCAGGCAGAGGCCAGTATAAGGTTTCACCGAGCTCACGGCCACTGAGCCGATGCCAAGTCAACGGAAAGCAAAGCGCTTCCTTGGGGGGGTTTCAAGACTGCGGTCCCCCCAGGTGTCTTTACCAAGTGTCTTCATTCAGTCAAATACCAGAAAGACCCCGCACACCAAGAGAGGGGGTTCCGTTGAGTATAAGCAAATGTTCCACGGAAAACACCCCCACCTAATCTTGCTCAAATAAATATATATAAAGAAACCTGCATGGCCAGCAAAAGGAAGCTTTAGTATATTTTAAATCATGACTAGCATTGGATCCGTTTGTGTCACTTTAGGGAAAATAATTACTGTTTTTCAGCACATGTTTAATGCAGTTCTTGTGGTAAAAGTAGGTGCCTCGGCTGGTCTTCGGGTCGGCTTATACTCGAGTACATACGGTATCTTGCAAGTCTGCACTGTACCAAGAGTGGGAACGTGGAGCTCTGTGTGAATCAAGGGTCCCTGAGACCCTCTGACCAGAGAGGCAGTGATGGACGGGAACTGACACGCCGCCCGCTGCTGACAAAGCCCCAAAGGGAACCCATGACCTTCAGGCGGGTTGCGAATCTGTGGGGCAGAGTAGGTGCGCCCCTCGGGGTTTCCGCTGACCTCCGCTGACCTCGCTTTAGCGGCCACTGGCAACAGGGCCCCTGATAAGCAGCTGAGAGCTAAGTTGAAATACAAAAGGCAATGCAAGAATTCCACAGAAGAAGTGACCAAAGGGGTCACCGTGGCTCTTCAATGTCAAGTTCCAGGAAGGAAGAGACCGAGGCAGCTACAGCAATGAGGTGAGGCTGGGCTGCTGACAGAAAGGTCTGCAGTTCAAAACCACCAATCACGTCTAGTTATGGGACTAGAAAGCTTGGTCTTTCTCCCAAGGGGCTGCTGGTAGTTTCAAACTGCCAACCATGTGAGACAGCAGCCTAACAAGCAACCACATCATCATCCGGGACTCCTCCAAGGCTCTTTAGGGGTGAGCTAATTAGTTTGACCATTGATAGCCAGCTAGTTTTTAAGCTTGGAATTTTGTATGGCTCGTGAACAATGTTATCCACCCTGCTAGATTAGGTATACCAGGCTGCAAATCTTTATGGAAGCAGACTGCCTCGTCATTCTCCCTGGGAGTTTGAACCTGAGACCTTGAGGTTAGCAGCACATGGCTTACCCAACAGCGCCACCTAAGTGCAACAGGTTGGATGGGGTGTTGTGGGCGTTCTGCTGCTTACCAAAGTCGGAGAGGCTGCTGGCCTTGGTGAGCTGAATGTCACACACAGGGAGGGGGAAGACCTCGAGCACATCGTACACCTACAGAGGGAGGCAACACACATCAGAGCGCAGCTTGGAAAACCCTCCGGACACCTTCTGCCCAGTAACACAAGAACTGCCAACAAGTTATCCCCGGCAGACACCGTTTCAAAGGAGCCGCCCGACGGCAGCACGGCTTCCCCCGACCTGGCAGCCTTTTATCCCTGGGTCCCAGGCTGCAGTGGCACGCCCCACTGTAACCCGAAGGGCACTTGCCTGGTCCTGCATGGACTCCGATGGACCCGGGACGTAGCGGTCGCTGCTCTCATCTGCCAGTCTCCGGAGCTGTAGGCCGTAGTGGCTGGGCTCCAGCTGCCGCAGCTACAGAGACACAGAAGGGATCCCGAGTTCAAACGCTCCGTCCGAAGTCATTTTTTAGTGGGTTCGTTTAAAAGGACAAGTGGAACTTTCTAAAAGAGATGCTATTCGTGAGATACTGAGCCTATGTAAGAGAGCTCACCCTTAGAGGTGCCAAAGAGATGGCACCTCTAAGTTAATTACCCTGAAGATGTTTTCCTCTAAGTCAGGAGTGAGGAATATCCAGCCCAGGAGCCGTAGCAGGCACCGAGAAATCATCACTGCGAGTTACCAGGACACGCCAGAATAGCCGTTCCAGCCATTACCATAAAGTCTCACTGCCACCGGGGGTCCCAGCTCATAGGGCCCCCACAGAACAGAGTAGAGCTGCCTCTGTGGGCTGCTGAGACAGTAGTTCTTGATGGGAGTGGAAAGCCTCATCCCTCTCCTGCAAACCCCTGAGATTTGTAGCCTGACACACAACTCACTCCACGGCCCAGGCTCCTTGGTTAGGTACAGGATAGAGAGCTACCAAGATCTGCCGGCCTTTGCCCACCCTTTCATCTACCGGCTTGCATTTGTGATTAAGGCTAGTTAAGCTCTCCTGTGCCACCTGGTGGTATGAACACGGATCTGTGACTGCCGACGCTACTTCATCTGTCAGGAGACTCCGTGGCTCACAATGTCCCTTCTCAGAAAGGGAGCAGAGCCCAGCTTGGATAATGGAATAAAACCACCCCAGCATCTAATCTCATGACACACCTGTGAACAGCGTCAGGTTACCGGCCAAGTCTAGAGAGTTTCAGGAACAATTCTTTAGGTGTGAGCCACCTTCTTAGGGGCACCCCCTCTCTAAAGCCTTTCCCAGGCTCAGAACCCCAGTGTCCCACCTAGAAAGGTAGACAGAGAGTCCGTCCCCAACTGTGCGGAGTTGAACTGTGACTCCCAAAGCAGGTGTCCACATGATGACACCCTGGTTCTCAGCATTATGCAGCTGGCCTCTGTGTCGTGAAAGGATGCCATGACGCTACGCGTTGTAAATCCTAACCTCTGGGATGGAGACTGGGTGACGGTGTCGTGGCTACGGGTTGGGCTGTGATTCGAAAGGTCAGCAGTTCAGTACCACCAGCCACTCCACAAGAGAAAGACAGGGCCTTCTACTCCTGTGAACAGCTCCGATCTCAAAAACTCAGGGGGGCAGTTCTCCCCTATCCTGCAGGGTCCCTATGCGTCAGCATTGGCTCCGGGGCACTGAGTGAGAGATGCTGATGAGGAGGGGCTGACGGGACTTACATTCATGACTCAGGACTCGATCCACAAAATTAGGTCGTGCCTCGAGTCATTCTCTTATGAGACAGACAAGGGACTAAAGAAGTGAGCAGAGATCCACGCCCAAGCCCAGCTCACTGGCAGCAAGGCCATTCTGACTCACAGCGACCCTGCGGACAGGGCAGCGCTGCTTCTGGGAGTTTCAGTGGCCATCACTCTTTTTTTTTTTTTCTTGACCAGAGAAGAAAAGCCCGTCTTGCTCCCTCAGGGCGGCTGGTGGTTTTGAACTGTGCACCGGACCGGCAGTTAGCCAAACACTCTGCTGCCAGGGCTCAGTGCCACCAAGATTGAGCAAGGGGCCCTGCTCTGTGACACTCCCAGACCCAGGCAGGGCAAAACTGATGCCCACAGCCTTCCCTGAGAGCTGGCAGAAAGAGAAAAAGCCTTCCCTGGCAGCTGGTACTTAGACTTCTAGCGGCCTAAACTGCGAGAGAACCAAGTTCGGCTAAAGTCACCCAGTTGTGATATTTCTGCTGTAGCAGGGGTGGAGAATGGAGAATTTTCAACGTCCTGAAGTTAGGACACACTGCCCTGCTGAAGGTCCATCTGGTGTGTGTGTGTGCGTGTGTGTGTGTGTGTGTGCGCGCGTGTGTGTTATCATTAGTAAAACACACGGCCTACAACACAGAAGCACCTCGTGTACTGATTTCCATCCTCCACCGTCCACTCACATTTGTTCCGTGTTTTGAGTTACTGTTCAGAACACGGCTGTGTCTTGAGTAAAAACTGAAACTATTAAGAGGAATTCTGTTGACACCAGGACCGACTTCCAGTAGAGTCGTTGGAACAGAGCCCCACCGTCCAGGATTCCCGGAGACTAGCTCAGGTGGTGTGTGAAGGCCAGGGCCATGGCCATGCCATCTCTCTCTCTCACAGGCAGGGGAGCAAAATTCTGCAGAGGGATGGCTGTGTGACTGAGGTGCAATGTGTGTGACCATGGCTCCCCTTGGAGACGGACCAGACAGCACAGGCTATGACAGGGTTGAGGACTGCTCCGAATGGGCAGTCAAACGGCAGAGCCGTTACTTACCTTGCAGGCCAGAGACAGAACATCTTGTACACTGTGCTCTGGCTTGATGCCCACGGTGACGGCTTGGTGGTCGGGGAAGTGGACCTGCGCCAGTGTTTCCCAGGAGCTGTCTCGGCGGCCACCATCTGCAGCTGAAGCACACCTGGGCAGAAGGTCTTCAGGCTGTTTGCAGACACCAAAGGAAGAGCAGGAAGAGGCAGGCAGGTGTGCTGAGCAGGTGAAGGAAGCTTGACACCCGCTCCCTGCCAGACTGTGCCCTCTTGCAAGCCTCCCCCAGCCTCGCCCTGCGTTTCTGCTTTCCCCAATGTGATGCCACAGAACTGAGGTGCAGGGCTGCAGGCCCTTGACCACCTGGACCTGCCCACCTGCCCCAGGCTCCCTCCACGATGCCACCCGGCCTCACGGAGGCGGTGCCCTGCTCGCTGCCATCAGTCCGTTCTGGCTCACAGCGACCCTGCAGGATGGCCCCTGTGGTTTCCAAGGCTGTGACTGTTTACAGCACACACGGCCTTGTCTTTCTCCTGGAGCGGCCGGTGGGCTTGAACTGCTGACCCCGCTGTAAGCAGTGCAACACGATACCCAAAGCACCACCAGGGCTCCCGGCAAAGTAAGAGCCGGGCAATCCATAACAGGATGACAAACAGCTACCCCTAGGGGTCACAGTGGTTTGCCTCATGACACCCCCCACCCCCCACCCCCAAATGCAGAGCAGAACCTCGCCACAGGGCCCTCAAGGGGGTGACCTTTCAGAAGTGCACAGCCAGGCCTTTCTTCTGAGGCACCTTGGCTGGATTGGAAGCTTCAACCTTTGCACTGTTTGCATACACACCCACCCATCCCACCCCACCCCCGAGTCTCCCTAAGCCACCCTCCCTGCTCTCGAGTAGGGACAACATGGAATTGCCACCTGACCTACACCCCCTTCAGAATTTCACGCTGTTAGACAGAGTCTCGGCCCTCACCCGACACCCGCAGCCAGGCCCAGCCTCTGTTCCCATCCGGGCCTGTGTGCAGGGGTGAATGCTGCAGCCCACGGCAGCCTCCTGGATCAGAGGGCACCTGTTCTCCCCAGGCCTTTAGGGACCGGTTTTAGATAAGTGGACCACCACGTCTTTCTTCCAAGACCTTTGCTCGGGGTGGACTCAAACCACCAATCTTTGATGAGCAGCCACGTGCACTCCCTGTTTCTGCCACCTGGGGGCTCCCTCGGATGCCTTTCCAAACCAAACCCACTGCCCACTCACGCTGATGCCCACCTGTAGCGGCGACCCTACAGGACAGGGTAGAACTGCCTCCATGGGTTTCCGGGACTGTCACTCTTTACTGGAATAAAAAACCCACCTTTTCCCCCACTCGGTGGCTGGTGGTTTAAACTGAGGACCCTGCACTGATCGCCGGGACTCCTCTTCTTGGTTAATAATCAACCCCAAATCCTGGGAGAATGGTTCCTCTTTCCTTCAGCCATTCTTAATGAAAGGCTAGGCTCCCAAAGTTCCTTGGCCTACGGCCCCTTTGCAGGAAGAAACAGTCCTCCGTGCTCCCCCTGCCGATGGAAAGCATCTGAACTGCAGCCCCTCGCCCTGGGTCCCCTGCAGGTTTCCGTTTCTGCTGCTCCACGGGTCATTCTGTGAGTGCTCACCAGGGGGCAATCTCACCCACTTTGGAAGACCCTGATCCAGACACCCTTTTCTAAATCATCCTCCAAGAAGCCACTTGGGAGCATCTTCTAGAAGCCTCTCCTAGAGAACTGTTCTGAAGTCACTGCCACTGGAGGACCCCTGCTTGCATGGGCCTCTGGGATTTACAGCAAAGACACTAAGCATTTCATAAGTAACCCAGCAATGCTTTCCGCTGGCAGTTTCCCTCTGGATTTCCTCTGGATTCTCAAATAAGCCTCACCGGCCAAGAAAAACACAATGGGAGTGGGGGCGAGAGGGAGGAGACTTGAAATCAAAATGTTCAGAATCAATGGTGCTCAAGGAAGAAGTCCAAGCTGCACTGGAAACATTAGCCAAAAACAAGGCTCCAGGAATTGACGGGATCCCCACTGGAATGTTTCAACAACCTGAGGAAGCGCTCACTCGTCTATGCTGAGAAATTTGGAAGGCAGCTCCCTGGTCAACTGACTGGAAGAGATGCATATTTGCACCCATTCCAAAGAAGGGTGACCCAAGAGAATCAGAAAATTATAGAACAGTGTCCTTGCTATCACATGCACCTAAAATTTTGCTGAAGATCATCCAACAACATTGCAGCAGTGCACTGCCAGAAAGCTGCCAGAGATTCAGGGCAGATCCAGAGAATGTGGAACAAGCGATATATATCATTGCTCAAGTCAGATGGATCTTGGCTTGAAGCGGAGAATACCAGAAAGATGTTTGCTTGTGTCTCATTGACTATGCAAAGGCATTGAACCGTGTGGATCATAACAAACTATGGATAGCCTTGAGAAGAATGGGAATTCCAGAATAATTCGTTGTGCTCACTCAGAACTTGTACATGGATCAAGAGGCACTTGTGCAAACAGAACAAGGGCTTACTGCATGGTTTAAAATCAGGGTGGTGTCCTCTCACCATGCTTGCTCAGTCGGTATGCAGAGCAAATCATCAGGGAAGCCGGCTTACATGAAGAAGAGTGTGGCATTGGGGTTGGAGGAAGGCTTCTTAACAACCCGAGAGATGCAGACGACACAACCTTGCTTGCTGAGGGACATGCTAATGAAGATTGGGGACTTGCCACCTTCAGTAAGGATTGCAGCTCAATGTAAATTCCTGACAACTGAACCAATAAGCAACACCCTGATAAAAGGAGGAAAGATTAAAGTTGTCAAGGATTGTGTCTTGTTTGGATCCACAATCAATGCTCATGGAAGCAGCAGTCAAGAGATCAAACGACACATTGCATTGGGTAAATCTGCTGCACAAGACCTCTTTTAAAGTGTTGAAAAGTAAGGATGTGACTTTGAGGACTAAGGTGTGCCTGATCCAAGAGATGGTATTTTCAACTGCCTCGTATGTATGGGAAAGTTCGACACTGAATAAAGAAAGCCCAAGAAGAATCGATGTCTTTGAACTGTAGTGCTGGCAAAAAATATTGAAAGTCCCATAGACTGCAGAAGAAGAGACCTATCTACTGTGGAAGAAGCACACACGCACCATGAGAAAGGCAGGAAGCAGGAAGAAGGGCTCCAGGCGACAAGAGGCACCAAGGATGAGGAGGAGGCAGCGAGCACCACACTTCCCTGGAGCGTCCAGCCCCACAGGGACTGCAGTGGTCCCCTTCCTGCAAACATCTCCCAGGTATTTCCTTTCCTCTGAACGCGGACTTCAGCCAGGCGTGTGATTACACTCATTTACCAGCAGAGGGCAGTGCGGAGCAAGGAACCAGTCCGAGAGCAGGGCGGAACCGAACCAGGAAAACCAAAACCTGAGGCCGGTTCACGTAGGAGCCCTGGTTCACGTAGTGGTTACTCTGGGCTGCGATCTGCATACTCACAGTTCAAAACCACCAGCAGCTCCGTGGGAGAAAGTCTGGGCTTTCTACTCCCGTGAAACCCACAGGGGACTCACTATGAGTCACCATTGACTCGATGGCAGTGAGGCCCCACTTAGAAGACTAGGCCCGCTCATCACAGGGACCAAGCGCCACCTCCTGCTCTCCTGTCAGGTAACCAAAAAGCCCTCCAAACTCACTGACATCGAGTTGATGCCGGCTCACAGTGACCCTACGGGCGGGTAAAACTGCCCCTTAGAGTGTCCAAGTCTGTAACTTTTTATTATTATTATTATCATTTTCCCAACGGTTTCACTGGCAAGTAATTTACCTACCACACCAAGCAATAGTTCAATCACGCAATCGTATCACGGAGAATTGTACAATCACCCCCACATCCGTTTGAGAGCATTCCCTCCGCCCCATAGGTAAACTGCCTTTAAGATAATGTATGCGATCACAATTCATTCTAGTGCTCCCTACCCGCTCCTGTCTAATACTGTCACTCTTTTCGGGAGTAGAAAGCCCCATCTTTCATCTTTCTTCCAAGAAGCAGCTGGTGGTTTTGAACCTCCAACCTTGTGGATCATAGCCCAATGTGAAACTATAATGCCACCAGGGTCCCCTGCCTTACACACTCACCCCAGATTCCCTGACGAGCTTTCCTCATCAACAATTCTGCACACCCCACCCAAGAGGCAAGAGTGTCCAATGGCCCTGTCTCCAGGTCCTGGTGACTACAAGTGGGTGCAGCAATGACATCAGGGGACACCCATCCTGGCACCCTGGCCGTGTCTGGGCCGTCACACTCCTATAGTCTAGGGTGGGTGGGCTTCAGATCCTTCAAACAACAGCCCCAGGGGAGGTTGGGGGTCTGCTCTGAAGAACTGCCTCTGAAAGCAGGCCCACCACCAGGGACGAACGGAATGTCAGAGAACAGCCCGAAGGCCAGCCTGGCCTGTGCTATTGGATTTAAAACCACACCCAACACCAAACCCACTGCCCTCGAGACCCTAACTCTGTAAAGACCAAGCCAAACTCACTTCCATGCAGTCAAGGCTGGCTCAGCGCGACGACCCCCGTGGGTTTCCAAGGCTGGAACTGCTCTCAGCAGTAGAAAGCCCCCTCTTTCTTCCAAAGAGCTGCTGGTGATTTCGAACTGCCGGCCATGGGGATCGCAGCCCAACACGTAACCACTACAGCACCGTGGGCTCCCTCCTAAACGCGTTACGGGAGAGAAATCCCCATCTGATGAGTTTGAACTGCTGACATTACGGTTAGCAGCCCAATGAGTAACACACTATGCGCCTGGGGCTCACTGGACAGTCTTCGGATCATGCAAAGGTGGCCACCTGGAGAGTAGCAAGGTGGCCAGCGCCAAGTTTCAAAACCCTGGGGGCCAATGGTGGCTGCCGGGCCTCAGCTCACCCTGAGTCTCAGCTCCACTTCCCCGTCCACATAGGGGCAGAGACTGTCACCATCATGAACCGGTCCCATTAGTGTTCCTGGGAGAGCCACCTCCACAAAAAAGCATATCACCATCATCCCACGGGCGGTCCTGCAGCGTGGACGGGACCCAGCGGCTCTGTGTATTCTGACAGCTGAGGCTGCTGGATCGAGTGTCTTGTCATGACTACTCGGATGGCCAAAGGGAAGGGAGTCACAACAT